AGGGCGCTGGCGGCACGGGGTCCGGCGGCCCGGGGCCTGCCCAATGCCCGGACCGTTTGGCTCTGTTTAAGAGCCAAGCTGCCCGAGCGCTACCGGCTTCGAGCAGCCTCCATGCCTCTGGACCCTGCGCCACCGGAGCCCGGGAGGGGAAGTGCCCGGCCGGCGGCTGGGGTCCGGAGGCAAGGGGGCTGCCTGAAGCCCATAGCGCTCGGGCAGCTCGGCTCATAAACAGAGCCAAAGAGTCAGGGGGAGGAGCAGAGCAGCCACGGGAGGGGAAGTGCCTGGCCGGCATTTTCCCGGACATGTTCGGGTTTTTGGCAATTCCCCCCGGACGGGGGTTCGATTGCCGAAAAGCCGGACATGTCCGGGAAAACCGGACATATGGTAACCCTACCCAATTCGAACTAAGGTACACAACTTCAGCTACGTGAATAATGTAGCTGAAGTCGACGTACCTTAGTTCAAACTTACCACAGTCCAGACGCGGCAGGCAGGCACCCCCGTCGACTCTGCGTACTCCTCGCGCCGAGCAGAATTACCGGAGTCGACGGGGAGCACTTCTGGGTTCGATTTATTGCGTCCAGACAAGACGCAATAAATCGAACCCAGAAGTTCGATTGCCAGCTGCTGAACCAGCGTGGTAAGTATAGACAAGCCCTGTGTAAGGGCCTTCTCTTACTGTGACAGTCTGAGGCCTGGTTCTTAGGCTAAGGCCTTCGGCTAAGCAGCAGAGGCAGCGATAAACTGGGACGTGTATGTTCACATCCTCACATCCCAAACTAGTCACATGGAAATAAGGTGCTATTGGGCTGTTAGGAACACAATCCTGTCCTGATATTCCTACCACCTCCAGAGAAAGGGAAGAGCCTAGAAGATGTAAAAGGAAACTTAGGTTGATAGTTTCCTGTCTGGTAAGAACTCACTTATCAATAGACACAGCTGGGAAACCCTTATGTCTGTCTAGATGTAGTTGTGAAATCCTCACTTCTGTATTGTTTTGTATGTTTATTTGCATGGTCTCTGTCTGGTTCTGTGATTGTTTCTGTCTGCTATATAATTAATTTTGTTGGGTGTAAACCAATTAAGGTGGTGGGATATAATTGGTTAAATAACCATGTTACAGTATGTTAGGATTGGTTAGTTAAATGTCAGTAAAATGATTGGTTAGGGTATAGCTAAGCAGAACTCAAGTTTTACTATATAGTCTGCAGTCACTCAGGAAGTAAGCGGGGGATGGGAACAGGGAATGGGAACAGGGATGGCTCTGTGGTGTCAAAGCTGGGAAGGGGGACACTGAGAAGGAAACTGGAATCATTAGGGTTACCATTCGTCCGGATTTACCCGGACATGTCCTTCTTTTTGTGTTAAAAATAGCGTCCGGGGGGGAATTTGTAAATCACTACAAATGTCCGGGATTTCCCCCCCATGCAGAGCGAGGCGCGGCTGGGAGGGCTGCAGGAAAGTCAGCCGCTCGCATGGGGCTCTGGCAGCCAGAGCCCTTCCCCCACAGCTTGCCGGGCTGGACTCCGGAGCAGCTGTAGAGCTCCCCCCCCCCATTCTGAGCCGGCCGGCCGGCCGGGCCATTTACTTCAGCCTCGGCAGCTCCTCCTCCCCTGCAGCCCAGCACCCCGCTCCGGCAGCACTGTGCGGGGTGGGCCCAGGTTGTGTGTTGCGCTAGGGAGTGCAGCCACG